GGGTCCGAAGCATGTCCCCTCTGTGTGATCGGGTGGGACAGGTTGAAGTCATAGGGGAGAGACGGTCCCTTAGGTAACCTGGTCCCATGCCATGTAGGGCTTTAAAGGTGATAACCAACACCTTGAATTGGACCCGGAAGCAAACTGGTACCCAGTGCAGCTCGCAGAGCAACGGTGTTACATGGGCCCTTCTTGGGGCTCCAAAAATAGCCTGGGCGGCTGCATTCGGGACCAGCTGTAGCTTCCGGATAGTCTTCAAGGATAGCCCCATGTGGACCGCATTGCAGTAGTCTATCTGGGAGATAACAAGGGCATGAGTGACTGTTCAAAGGGCATCCCGATAAAAGGAAAGGGCGTAACTGATGCACAACCCGAAGCTGTGCAAAAGCCCTCCCAGCCACGGCTGCCACCTACTCTTCAAGCAGGAGCCATGAGTCTAGGAGGACCCCCAGATTACGCAGTGAGTCTGTCTGGGGTAGTGCCACCCCATCGAGCACCAAAGATTACAAAGTCCCGGATACAGAGGAGCCAATAACCCACAGCCACTCCGTCTTACCAGGGTTCAGCCGAAGCCTATTGTTCCCCATCCAGACCCTTACAGCCTCCAGACACTGAGAAAGGGCAGTCACAGCATCACTTACTTCACCTGGGATGGTGATGTATAATTGTGTAATCAGCATACTGATGATACCTCATCCCATGGTGGCGGATGATCTCACCCAGCGGTTGCAGGAACATGAGAGTTAGTCCTACTTGCCCAAGTGGATATTTCTATAATCCTGTGTTATCAGAAATAAGCTTTTATTCCTGGCATCATAGTCCAACCAAACTGAGTGAAGCTGATGAAGGGTGGTTGTTTGATGCTTTAAAATTGGTAGTATGGGTTATTTATGACAATTTTGTGTGCATTTGTGATCTGTATCACTTAGAAACTCCTTTGCCATTACTGCAGATTAAGGACCATAATATTCAGCTGTACAACAAGAATGTGTGCCTTTCATGCAGATCCTTTCACCATTTTTTATTTATGTTGGTGAGCAGATTCTCACCGCTAAGAGATGAAGAATTGGAATGAATGTCTTTTCTGACATTTTGTTTCTATTAGTGCCCTTTGTACAGTGAGTCACTCAACATGTTTTTGTAGAAACTAAAAGCTTCGTCTTAATGACTGGTTACTTTGCCAGCATAGCTAGCCTTGGCTATTACCTGAACAGATGCCTATACAATCTGATCATGGTCATGAAAGAGAATAGTACTGTTGTTGCTCCTAATGTTAATTCAAAATATTAAATGAGGTGTTTTATGGAGAATATGAAAAACTGGCTCCTGAATAAAAAAAACATATAATGGCCTTACCTTAGTAAAAAAAGAATAGGAATTTAAAAAAAAACCCTTTGTTTGCATTTTAGTTCATATATAAATGTGGCTTAAATACAAATCTAGTGACAAGCAATTTTTTTAGGTGATGTATTCTTAAGTCTGATTATTTCTGGATCTCTTCTGCAAGATACTAATGTACTGCTCTTTATTGCAACATGGGACCACTTTAGAGGACTGCTCTAAAACAGGTATATCTTTTTCTGTCTGGGGGCTTATTCTGAAAAAAACTGAGGCCAGGAAAAAATTCAAACCTACCTAATTATAATTCATACAATCACTTCCCATGTGTCACATACAAAATCACAATTCAGTAAAAAGTTTTTTTGGGGGCGGGGGGGAGTGGACAAGTTGCCCATTCCTGCTGTAGAATTTAGTTTGCATGTTCATTTTACCCAGATAGAAGTGGAGAGATACATGCTATTTGCACAATAATCTAGAACCACTTCAGTTGGCTAAGTCTTGGAGGGACTCAGGGGACCTCAAAAAGATATCTTTAGAGCTGCATGCAGGCTTTGGTTTGACTGCCCCCAAAGGAACTAGATACAAATCAGTGCCAATTTCATACAGTAGGAAAACTGTATCTTGCAAGACATGAAGCTCCATTCTGGATCACTGGAAGCCTGAATGGTCTCTTTCTAAAAAAAATTTCAAGCAGCAGTGACAATGCAGAAATCTTCATTAGAAACTGAGACACCTTCGGTATATAGCTTCTTCTGCTATCCTGTAGATTATATTTCCAAGGAGTATAGTATGGTCTTGAAAAGTATCCAGCATCTTTTGATTAGTTTTGGGTTTGGTTTCTCTTTGCCAAAGTCTTGATACTTGACTTCTCTCCAGGAAAACTAACTAAAAGAAATCATCCCTACCTTTTTAATAAATGGTATCTTGTATTTTTCATGCCCAAAAGTTGTTTCTCTCCTATCCCAGTTTATATTTACTATTTACAATGTCCATTGTGGTGGTGGTGGTGGTGGTTGTTATTTTGTGGCACTGCAAAAGCTTTTTAAATTGCTGCTTGATGTTGAAATGGAAACTGGTTCAAATTGCATGAGGATGTGAAAGTATGTTGGGCTGTGATGGTTACAAGTCAGGATAAAAATCTTGGAAGTTCTTATACTTGAAAGCAGGGGAGAAAAAAAATCAGCGATTTTTAAAAAAATATTAAACATGGATTTTTACATGTAAATGGGAGTTTTAAAATGCTACTAGAGTTTTAAAAGTTTCAATTATTTTGTAAAGGAAAAACATTCAGTAGCTCAAAAATATAACTATGAATGTAACTTCTAACTTTATTTTATTTGCTAATATGATGTTGAGAGATAAGTTAATGAAGTAGATTTGAGCAAGGAGGAAGAGTCTGGATATAAATACACAGGATAAAGGAAAGGCATAGAAAGTGATTGGATAATGAGAAGAACACATTCCTGCAATTCTGAGGTCCTGGAGAACAAGTTTCTGGTCCTGAAGTATACTTTCTATTTATTGAACAGAACCTAATCATGGCACCAAGTACTAAAAGAGACCCCTGTTTGTGACTAGTTGAATTGAGCTACAATTTTAAAGCTGATGTTGGTCCTAGCACATCATAGCAAAAATACCCTCTAAAAATCCACAATATTAAATTGAATAGAGCTACTTCAACTCCTAATTTCATCTTGCATGAAGTAAGATCATAATTTCATTGAACAAAAAATTACTTTATATGGTATGTTGCTTCTGAAAGTAACATCCACATGTCTGAGTACTGAAGAATATGTATTCAGATTACATTAAACAACAAGAATGCACTTTTGCTAGAAATGATTATTATAAAATATTTCTAGTTATTGAATAAATTGTGATTTAAATCATTAACTTGTTCCTTACTAGTAATTTCTATCATGGTTTAGATCACAATTTAAATCAAATCCACTCTACTTGAAAGTTCATTAACTTTTCCCCCTCCAGAAATAGTGGTAAAGGTCAGCTGTATTTGTACTAGGTAACCATTGTAGGTGAATTATGATATCAAATCTTGACATGCATAGGCAATGAATTCTTGGGGAAGTAACCCAGGGTAAGTTTGATTTTCCTTGATTCCTGGGAAATATTTACAATCAACACAATTTTAAGTTCTGAGATATTGTAGAATAGGAATATAACTTCCAAACAGACTAATCTATCCCCTTTTTAAAGAAAGCAACGTGCCTTCAATATTTTCCATTGTCTCTATTTATGTACTGACTTTATTTATTTATTTATTCCTATTCCAGGCTTCAATTCTAGATTTACACTCTGGAGCCCTTTCTTTGGGGAAGCATTTTGTTAATATGTACAGGTAAATGTAGAATTGCATTTTAATACGTTCACCTTAGAATGGCTGATCTTTGTTCTTTTGGCTTTCAGAATGTGTTAGAGATGTATAAAGACACAAGTTACTCTGTTTTTAGCAGTTTCTCTGCATTTAGAAAAGAATATGTGATAACTGTTTTGGGGGCTTTGGATATAGAAGTAGACCCTGGTTCATTTTAGAATCATTTTTTAAGCTAGCTGTCAGTTTTCCATAGTAATTTTGTATTCACTAGAATTGATCTTGTGTACTAGTCTTAATAAGTAGTGTTCTGAAACTTTAAAAATAATTGAATATTAAAAATGTGATCTGAGTAGACACTTTAGTTGTAAGAATCTTGAAAGCAATTGGTTGGTACAAAGATTTAATTTGACTTGTCTGCGAATTGGTTTCATATGTTCACTTATTTCTTTTCCTTCCAGATACTTTAATGATAAAATCCATGACATCTTCACAGAAGAGGATTTTCAGTTATACCGGTAAGAAAATCCAATCATTTTAAATTTAATTTTTGCCTTTTCCAGTCAGCCTTCTAGTATAACTTTATGGTGACACAGTACCCATAGACAGTTTATTACTGCATTTGAGAAAAATTACATTGCAGCATAATTTTTGAATTGTCGATGGGGTGTCTTAATTTGTTATGTAGCACAGAAGAGTTGTTCATTTTGCATTGTAGAAAAAGTAACAATATTAGTAGTTCAGCAAACATTTTAACAGCTTGAAGGGAAGAATCTTCATGGCATCACTGTTGTTTTACACTATGGATGGAGGGGTAGAGAACAGAAAGAACTTGGTTAGATGTAGCATAAGGCATTCTAGACTGAGTTTTATTTAGTCCCACCATTATGATTTTAGTACAATCCACTACTTAAATGGCAAAAAAAGGAGAGAGTCCCTTGTGCAGTTTTCTTTTTAAAGACTGGTAATACTTGGTACTGCTAGTCCTTGCTTCTAGGAGGTAAGGAGAGGTGGAATTAATCATACTCTACGTACTGCTTGCTAGTGATATAGTTAGTTGGTAATATCATAAGAGTTGCTCAACTTAGTTTAGAGCCTAGTTCTGTACCTTCACTATTATTCTAAGAAGTGTATGTCGAAACCAGATATATAATAGAAGGCATTTTTTTCCTAATTTGTAACAAAATTTCATGTAACTAGTAATGGGGGGGAGGGGGTTGCCACTTTTGTTTTACCATCTCTATATTTGAGGAATCCCATATATCCCCTTAAACTTTTTTTCCCTAAACTATATGCCAAGTTTTCTAAAATTCTCAAATTGTTTGCCATTTTATCCATCTTTTTTTGAAAAGTACAAACTTCTTGACTCTACTGTGACCAAAACTAGATAACATATTCAAAATGCCATATTCGAAATATTGCACGTTTTATGGTGGCTTCCCTGTTCAGACAGTTGAGATGTATAAATGATCTTTTTCTGACCAGACACCATTTGGCTTATGTTGGTTAGCAACACATATTGGTCTTTAAATGTGAAATGTAAACTCAGGGATAAGAGTCATACTTTTCAGTGATGAATGAATGGCAATTTACCCTGGGGAGAAGAAAGCTTGTTTTCTGGGGTTGTTTCCCAATTTATTTTATAGCAAGCCAGCATTATGTCTGTATCTATGGCTGTTTAAGAGGGCAGAGCAGAAAAAAAAGAGCATATGAACAAATACCTTTCATGCAATGCCTGCGCATTTAGTTCTTTGCATTTGAGTAGTCGTTTCTGAAGCAAAAAAATATTTACAGAATTGAAGTACTATCAGAAACAACGTGAAAAACTTGTTTCCTGAATTTGTGTAGTAGTGCTCTGCTCCAGTTTTCTTAAAGACACCCATTTCTTTTAAACCTGTAAGAACAGATTTTAAACTGACAGTTACAGGTGTGAACAGCTGAACATCCATTCCTCATCTCTCTTTTATGTTTCTTCAACCAAGACATCGGAGCCTGTAATAGAAAGTGTTAGACAGCATTCCACCTCAGCCTCTCTAAATAAAAGCCTGCCATCTACTTCTTTATATTATTATTGTTGCTGGTCGCACAGTCAGCCAAACGTTTAGATTGGATTTGACATTTTTGTCCACCTATTGAGTCCTTCCGAAGGACCTAGCAGATGTTGTTTGATGGTGTTAAAGGTATCATCGCAGGATATAAGCTGCTCCAAGTAAAGCTGCCTTTTGCAATTGACTGATGGTG